TTGGATGACAGAGCTGTGTGCTGCTGCTGTTGTATTCAGTGTTCTAGTTAAAAGTCAAGAGCCATTCCCAGATGCTCTTTTGTATATAAAGATTCCAATTTTTTAATAGCAACAAGTCCCTGTGGTTAATAATTTAGGAAGTTGGTTTTCAGGAACTTGGTTTTCAGAAAGAGCCTTTACATCTTTCCATTTATTAAATATCTATTGTCTGCTTCAGTTTATTTTGAGCAAGGCTTACATTTCTGTTTGTAATCAGTTACCTTGTTTTATATACATACATATTTTGGTAGCTGGCTGGTATTGGGATCTGACCCTTGACCTTGGTATTATAAGGCAGTGCTCTAACCAACTGAACTAACCGGGCAACTCCTACCTACCCTATTATATTATAGAGCTTCCCAGCTAAAGAGGTCTTTGATAGTTTTTAAAGTTAAAATTCTGAGCTTTGGAAAAGCTGATAAAATTAGATGAATATACAATATGCTTTGTTTTTTTTCATTTTTAGTGGGGAGATCTTTTAATAAAGTACATGATTAAAGTATGGTATTATAAAAAATAATTTTTGTCAATGAGGGAAGCAAAGTACCAAAATACTGTTTTTTCCCCAATAGTCACTTTTTTTCATTACTCATTTTCTTATGATATACTAGCGTATATCTTATATACTTTTTTATTAGTCTTTTGCTTATGATATACATCTCTAAGATATATATTTTAAGAAACACCTATAGTGTTGTGATCTCTTCAGCTATAAAGAGACTACAAGAATTTCTATTTAAAGGAAGAAATGGTAGTTTCTAGGTCATTTATTCTTTCTTACAGATTGTTTCATAAAGTAGCCTTAATTTTTCCAAAGGTACTATTAAATCTCTCAAAGCCAATCTGCCAAGGCCTATTTTTGTTTTTTTCCCCCTTGAATGTATTTAAATATTTAATATAGTTCTCTTGGAGGAAGAATAGTATATATGCTTCCTAGCATGGCCTTCTCCCTTTACCTGTTAATGATTGTAGGAATTGCCTCAGTTTTCAAGTTTGCTTTGTCGAAAGTGGAAATTATAAGGATTCTACCACATTGAAACACTTAGGAAATACTGAGGGAAATCAACATGAATGAAGAACTAAGGAGTACGGAGGTGGCTTCTAAAAACCTCCTTATCAAGGAGCTCAATGTTTTGCCTCCAACAGAAAATTTGTATGTTAAACAAAAGTAATTTCTGATGCTGTGAGTCATCAAAGATTACAGTAGTAGTTCTTGGTGCTGTCAGGCCTAATAACTGCTTTTTCTAATAAATAATTTGTAATCTGTACTCTTCTGAAATGAACTTCATTCATAACTGCCACACATAAAACTTTTTTTTAAAAAAGGCACCAACGCACACATACACATGAGCTCCGAGAAAGAAAATCTTCCCAAAATGTTTGTAAGGGGCATTACTGCTTCTACTGATAACCAGTGGTTTGGAATAAGTTGTGCTAAAACAACCCTATTATATGATTACCGGAGGGTCAAGGATATTGTAGCTAGACCATAGGCAGTCTTCTGAACTAATATGTGGATCATGGTAGAGAAATGGGGCTTTATAGCTATATGATTGAGAGGTCATTTGCAAAGTAAGTTTTCACTGGATGTTTGTTATTACTTGTGAGGCAAGTATGCAGTGAGTGCTGTAAGAGTCTTTTCCTGGTCTCTGCCCTGTTTTAACATTTTTTATTAATCCAGATGGCTTGCTTTGCAGATTTACAGATGATTCAAAACTGCAAGCAAAAGTTTACTAGATTTCAGGATTCGCGAAGATGTTGTGATGTTAGACTTAACGAATAGAAACTTAAAATGTAAAATAGAGATAAGTGTAAAGTCCTGTAGTTCATTTTCCAACCTCAATCCAGAGTTCGTTAAAGTGGTTTGTTAGAGTTTATATAAAATTTTGGGTTTCAGATGATTGATGTGAACTCTTGAGGTGTTGCGCTTTCTCCATTTAATAGAAATAGATGTTCAGAATGTTGGAGCTTCATTTTTGAAGGGAGTTGATGAGAATGGAGAAGGGTCTGGAAATCATGAGGAACAGTTAAGAGAAGTTTAGTATACAGCTTGTTGAAAGAGACAAGAGAAGGTTATAGTCTTTTTCAAGTATTTCATACAATATTTTGTATGGAAGTAGGATTGGATAGAGGACCATATAGATTTCATATTGGAATTAATTATGAAAATTTTTTCCTATAGAAAGAGAATGGGTTGTTGTGTGAGCTATTGGGCTTCCTGTTGCTGAAGTCATGCTACGTTTAGCTGTCAGGGAGATGGTACAAGGCATTCCCTTTTCAGATGGATGGTTGGATGTGATAATATTTAACCTGAATTAGGTTGTCTTGTTAACCATAGTTTCATGTTTTAGGACAGACTCAAAAATCTGAAAGTCAATCGTATGGACACATGGGTTACAAAGGGTTTAGTGGATAGGATGTATCCCATAAGGAGATGTTGCCAACCTGTCTCTTGAGACATTGTTATTAACCCTGTTGTTTGAAGTAATGGATGGAGCCTCAAAATCCACCTAATCTTTTAAAAAAAAATTAAAAATATTTACCTATACTTTTTAATTGTATGTACACACACATAATATAGTAGACAAATCTTAAATGTACAGTGTATTTTAACACATTTTACACCATCTAACCACCTCTAGATAATATATAGAATATTTTCAGCACACCAAAGATTCGAGTTTATTTTGTGATTTTGTGGTTTCTGTTATCTCACCTTCCATTGTCAAGACTTGTCTTAATTTCCTTTCATTGATTTGTCTCTATATTCTTTTGAAAATACTTTGAAGTTTTATTACTTTTTTGATTAGCTTCATCTGCTAGTTTCCAGCTACTAAAACCAACACAGTGAAAGTTAGTTTATAAAGACCTGGGCCGGCCCGTGGCTCACTTGGTAGAGTGCGGTGCTGATAACACCAAGGCCATGGGTTCGGATCCTATATAGGGATGGCCGGTTTGCTCACTGGCTGAGCGTGGTGCTGACAACACCAAGCCAAGGGTTGAGATCCCCTTACCGGTCATCTTTAAAAAAAAAAAAAAGACCTAGTATTGCATATGATTTATAATCACAGGCTCTAAAACCTGAATGATAGTTACAGTTTTAGCCCTTGGCAGCCGTGACACTGGGGCAAGTTACAATACCGTGTCTGTGTTCTCATCTATAAAATGGGGATTAATAATAGTACTGATCTTATTGAGTTATTGTGAGAATTAAATGAGTTAATTCATGAGAAGCAGTTAGCCAATATCTTCACATAAAGAGCATTCAGTCAGTGTTAACTATTATGTTATTTCCACTAATTTCAGAGGCTGCTTCCATATCTCTAGCCTATTTAAGGATTATAATTATTATTTCAGAAGTGTATTTTATTTTTCTCATTGAAATGTATTTTAGCTTTTGTTGTTATAGTATTATAGGTTTTTATTTACAGGTAGTTCATAAATATGAACACTTGTTCAAACAAAGTTGTCATGATTTTCAAATATAAAAAATTCAACAGATATGAACTTAAAATTGGCCTTTTTAATGTCTTATAGAAGCATTTAAAGATTCTGTCTTGGCTGGCCAGTTAGCTCAGTTGGTATAGAGCACAGCTTTATAACACCAAGGTCACAATCCCCATACTGGCCAGCTGCCAAAAAAAAAAAAAAAGGTTCTATCTTAGTAGATGGATCAAATATTTAATGACGACCCACTGTGGCCAAGGTGCTTTGATGCTTCTTTTGCTGATGTAAATTTGAGATGTAGCATTTTCCCTTCGCCACGTCCAACGTTTTCCTAGTTTTCTCATTTCTTTGTGTTTTGTGAATTTACAAAGTATTATAGTGAACAGGAATGCTGTATACATTGAGAATGAACACTTCACAGTTCGTGTGTCTAGACTGTTTCATCAGGGCAGCATTTAGTTTTACTTGAGGGGAAGAACAGGTTTACCTACTGACCAACCTGAACTATAGGAATTAATTTCTAACCCCATTTAGTAATAAAGTTGGATGAGCAAATAATAGCTCTGATAAAATGTCAAATCTTTTTGCCATTTTGGATGAGTAATTTGATTAGCAGTAAGTTAGGAGTCTTGGGAAAAGTGTACTGTACATATTTTTGTTGCAGTGGACAAGATTTAAGTACAGAAACCTAATGTCATCTGTTTGGACCTCCACCCAATCAAACTTTTCAGTTCGACAGCAGGCTAACTGTAGTATATAAAATTCTATCCCCAAAGTCTTTGGTCTAGTTTGTTGCATGGTAGGAGCCAAATCCTTACCTAGGATGTAGCAGATGTGGGCTTGAATACATGATTCTAAGGGGAAATAGGATAATATTCAAAGAGTCATCTGGAATTAAAGAGCATTTAAGTTTAGTGATTTCTGAACTTAAATCCTGCTTCTTTATTGAGGTCATATAGTATAGTACACATTTTTAATGTTCGTTGTGTAGACCCTGAATGTTAAATACTTTAAAAGTTTGGTGTTACTAATATTTTCTATTTTTTTTTGTAATGGTCAAATGTGATCATTTAGTTTCTTGAAATTTATGCCAGCTGTTTCATTTACATCTCTTTCAAGTATATTACCAATCTGATTTTTGAGGACATTTTTAGTTTAGTTTTTAATGTGCCATGCAAATGTAAATTACCAGGGGTCTTCTGGGTGAAAATAAAATTAAAATTCTTCAGGAGTATTTACTAGGTATTTTATTTGGACTATTCTAGCAGATCATTAAATTGTTTACTATAAACTACCTAAACTTTTTTTTTTTTTTCCTTTTTTCTCTCTCTTTACTGACCGGTAATGGAATCGCAACCCTCGGTGTCGCGCCTGTACCGGGGACCGGCAACGGGATTGCAACCCTCGGCGTTGCGCCCGCACCGCGCTCAGCCAGTGAGCGGGAACCGGTCTCCACATGGGATCCGAACCCTCAGCGGCCCTAAACTTTTTGAATTAACTTTTAAATGTAGTTTTTTCCTTTATACTTTGGACTTTTTTAAAAAAACACTTCTCCCATGTAAGATAATACATTTATGATTTAGGTAGCACATATTAAAAATTAGGGATCGCAACCCTCAGTGTTGCACCCGCACCGCGCTCAGCCAGTGAGCGGGAACCGGTCTCCACATGGGATCCGAACCCTCAGCGGCCCTAAACTTTTTGAATTAACTTTTAAATGTAGTTTTTTCCTTTATACTTTGGACTTTTTTAAAAAAACACTTCTCCCATGTAAGATAATACATTTATGATTTAGGTAGCACATATTAAAAATTAAAGCCTGTGAAATGATAGGTATTTGAAAGACTTAGTATCGTGGAAGGAGAGTTTTAGTCCTTCATGAGGAGGTACGCTAAGTACTGTGATCATTGTAAATGGTAAGTTTTTGCCGTTATTGAGGTCTGTACTTTAAAGAGAGAGTAGCCAGTAGTGTTGTTTACTTCATCATTACTTTAGAGTCACATTTGAATTAAACGTGTGCTAAAATTCACCAGGCAGTAAATCTCTATTTCTCAAATAAAAAAAAAATATTAGAAGATATTTACAAGAGAGGTTGGATTTAGTGGAAAAGATCAGTCTTCCTATTGTATTACTTCTAATACCCTAATACAAATATAGGTGAAAAAGGAATAAACTTACTTTAAAATGGAGCTTATGAATATTTTAACTCATTATTTTCTAAAATATCTGTTAATACCCAATGTACTACATGGGCTCAGAGAGATCACAAACTTCCTTTTCCTACTGTGAGTTACACAGTCATTACTTGTTCTAAATATCTTTTCTTTGACTAAGCTTTTGTTTTTTAAAAACTAGTTCTTGTTACATTGAAGTCATGGTTTTGAACTGCATGATGACATGAGAAATGAGTTTAAATCATTGTTCCGGCTGGCCAGTTAGCTCAGTTGGTTAGAGCACAGTATTAAAACACCAAGGTCAAGGGTTTGGATCCCCGTACTGGCCAGCTGCCCCCCCCCCCCAAAAAAAATCGTCGTTCCTTCTGCTTGTTAAGTAACCAGGTTTTCATGACCCATAAAAAGTAATGTCGGTCTAACAAGAGAAATCAGATTGTAACATGTACAACACCAATACGGGCAGTGATGATGAAAATTTTCGCTCTCCAAAATTCCCAAACAATGCAGATTCCTAAGAAATGATATACCTTTGAAGACAGTGACTTTTATGTTTGAAATGTCAGACTGAAGCTGGCATTTTTGTTTTTTTTTTTTAATCTCTGGATGTGATTAATACAGAAATAACATTAACTGAAAAGTGGGAGATTTTGCACATTAAAAAAATCAGTGAAAGTATATATGAAAATCTTGATTTGTTTTCTTCTCACAGCTAACCTGATAACCCAGATATTCTAGTAGTTAAGGTGAGCATTTTTTTTTTTTTTTTTTAAAGTTGCCACCTTCTACTTTTTTTCTTATAGCTTTGGTTTTATTATTATTGGGTATTTTCCTGGTGCCCTTGTTTTAAAATACCTCTAAACCTGGTGTAGCCCAAATACTTGTGTTTTCTCAATTGAAGGCATGCCCCTGATTAACTCCTCCTCATTCTCCTAATCTATTTGGCTTGATAGGCTTCTCCTAATCCTTAACAATTTTCAGTGTGATTGTCAGTAATGCTTTTTCCTTCATCTGAACCATTCAACATGTTGTAGCATCGTCTTGACATTAAAAGCAAAATGGAAGAAATCCTATATTAAAATCATGCCAAACTGCCCTCCCTGTGAATTACGAGATGTGTATTAACAAGTTGTGTTTTAGAGTCATGTTTGTAAGCCTAGAACATTTAGTCTATTTTTATTCCACCATTAGTATTCACAAGTGTCAATACCCTTTAGCCAAAGTACCATGAATATACCTGTGGTTGAACAAATTGGATTTATTAGTCACTCCAACAAAGAACACAGATCATAGGGAACTATGGAGTTTCCCAGTAAGAGGGTGTTATAAACAATCTGTTACAGGATTTAGCCTTTGATTGGGTAATTTTGGGGAAGACCTAAGGAAGTGTAGGGGCTTGCTCTGGTTTGGCTACTGTGAGAAAGTGGAGGAAATTCTATGATTTGGTATCTATAAATCTTACAGGGAGGGCAGACTAGAGTGAATATAAAGATGTATTGGTTAAAGAACTAGCTGTTATTCTTGGCTAGAGAGAGAAAAAAAGATGTTTCATATTTTGTAGGTTGTTTTTTTTGTTTGTTTTGAGACTGGCCGCACTGCGCTCAGCCAGTGAGTGCACTGGCGGCCATCCCTATATAGGATCCGAACCCACGGCGGGAGCGCCGCACTCTCCCGAGTGTGCCACGGGCTCGGCCCACAGTGACCTTGTTTTTTTTGTCTCACTTTCTCATAGTGTCATATGACTACATTTGATAAAGATGTTAAGTGAGATTGTCCACCAGGAGAACAAAATGGTTAAGCTGTAATGTCAGGTCATTTTGTAATGTTTGTAGTAACATTGAGGCTTAGCTGTGAACATCAGATTAGTTCTCAGGTCGGTGCTACCTTTTTTTCTTCCTTAAAAGCATTCAAATCCAAGTGGCCTCTACCTATGTAGAGACCTGCTTCTGACTGTGTAGGGAGGTGAGGATTTAGTAGCAGTGACATATTGGGCATGTAGGTTGGAACAAGCTGCAACAATGACAGTTACGTTTTTACAAAACAGCTGTTGGGGAGCAATTGGTGGCCTACTAAGAGTATCCCATTTTTCAGCTGGATAGAAGTAGTAGTGAGTGAAATACGAACATGTTCTTTTAAAGAAATAAATGAGTTTTCCCATGTTAATCTCTCTTGGGGATTCTAGGGTTTACCTCACTAAATTTAGTGTCTAGGAATTAGAAGCATTTTTAGTGCTTCAGGAGTTGTTTCTTGATGACTGGCGAGAGTCAACTGTTCATTTTCTGTATGGTCTCTGTGAATACAAAGCAATAAATATCAAAGGGATTTTAAAGGTTTTGAAGACTTGTGAACTGTTACATACCTTACAATAACAAATTACATTAATTGTAGAATTCCTTATGAACTGTCAGGTTGACATTAGGCAGAGAAAGAAACATGTTTTTACAGTTCTAATCTCCAGATTAGTTATGTGCATCTAAAAAGATAACTGAAAAGGTCTTTGTGTTTATTCATTTTTTCAAGTAGTTCCCGAGTCCTGTGTGCCAGGTGAGGTGCCAGACACTGGGTATGGGGGAGGAATCAGTTATTCCTGTCTTCATGAGCAGTGTGATGACTGGAGACATTTGGTTTCAGAGCATTCCTTTTTTTTTAAAGTTAAAAAATGGTTTATTACAGGTAGAAATATACACAGTATAGATGGAATCAAGCCAACTATCAATTAAATATAACAAACAACAAATTATGTGTAACAAATTACATTGGCAAAAACTCCTAGAAATAAGGGAGCACATGACTGAAGGATAATTCTTGTGAGAAATTTAATCACCTGTTTGTTTTAGAATATGGTAGGTCAAGTAGACACATAATAAGCAAGAATATAGGGTATCTGAATAACCCAATGAATAGGTTCAATTATGTTTATGAATGTATTGCATAGTTTTATATTGTGTATATTATCTTTATATTGTATATATTCTCTTCTTCTCTTACACCCATTGAATGTTTACCAGAAACTATCGTGTACAAGTATCTGTCCACAAAATAATGATTATAAATTCTAAAGCGTAGAGATTCTATGAGCCAGACGATCAGAGCATTTCTTTTAATGACATCTTAATTTCATGTAACATATATTCTGAAATAATCATTGCATTATTGTGTTATAGTACAGAGAATAATATCTCTATGATTGAGGTAACTATTGTAGTTTTTGTGACTTTAAAAGTGGTAACTTTTAAAAATCAGATATTGAGCATCTGCTCATGCAAGTCCGACAGTGTCTTTAAAACATGGAGATCGTGGGCTGGCCTGTGGCTCACTCGGAAGAGTGTGGTGCTGATAACACCAAGGCCATGGGTTCGGATCCTATATAGGGATGGCCAGTTCGCTCACTGGGTGAGCGTGGTGCTGACAACACAAAGCCAAGGGTTGAGTTCCCCTTACCGGTCATCTTTAAAAAATAAAACAAAAATACAAAACAAACAAAAACCATGGAGGTCTTCAGAACAAAATTTGTCTTCTGGTAAACTCCACAATAGGCTCAAAACTGAATAAATTTTAAAACTAGAAAAGTTAAGTTTGTAGTGAGTATAAGACTTAACATGAGTATTTATTAAAAGTCTAGAGTACATTTAGGTAGTGTCACATGATTACAGATTTCAACATGGTCTATCTCCGTCAGACAAGACATGTTATAGGCAGAACCAGCCTCTTCAGTAGTACCATTAGCTCTGTCATTGGTCTATAGAATTTTCTCATAGAAATAGACTGTCAGCATTTTTTGTCATCAAAATCTTCATAGCTTCTTTTATTATAGTTTTGAATGATTATGAGAACCTCAGAAACTTTTAAGAAAAGATTTAGGGCCGGCCCGGTGGCGCACTGCTACAGTGCACTGCTTGGGAGTGCGGCGGCACTCCCGCTGAGGGTTCGGATCCCACATACAGACGGGCCGGTCACTGGCTGAGCGAGGTGCGGGCGCAACACCGAGGGTTGTGATCCCGTTGCCAGTCCCGGTCCGGTGCGGGCGCGACACTGAGGGTTGCGATCCGTTGCCGGTCACGAAAAAAGACAAGAAAGGAAAAAAATAATAATAATTAAAGAAAAAAAAAAGAAAAGATTTAGATTGCAAAAGCTTTAATATCTTGGTTCTTTCAGTAGAGCAGTAGTAACCTTAAAATATTGTCGATTTGTGGCCGAGCCCGTGGCGCACTCGGGAGAGTGCGGTGCTGGGAGCGCTGCCTATATAGGGATGACCGGTGCGCTCACAGCGCTCACTGGCTGAGCGCGGTGCGGCCAGTCTCAAAAAGGACAAAAAAAAATATTGTCGATTTGGACCAAACTATGAAAACTTTTCATAATAAGATTTTTTCCTAAAGACTATTCCATATAAATATGCATTAATTTATTTTTTAAACACCATATAATGAACTCTCATTTAAATTTTATTTACTAAGTCCAGTACATAAATTTGCGTGGAAAAGAGAGCATGTTCTAGAGTTGCCACAGATTTTAGGATTGATAGGGAAATTATTATATAACATTTGTGTCTGTGTCTAAATTATGTGTAGATGCCAGAATGCATCTTCATATAATTTAGACACACAGATTTCTGGTATATTCTCTTGGTAATAAGGTTTAGTATTTTGAAACTAAAGTTTTAGTTTGGGCAGAAACTCACTTTCATGATCCTCACAGAATTCACTGGTCCTGTCTGCTATAATCAGTGCATTTACATTTATGTCTTCTTTGTAGCTATCCACTTACCACCAGAAGGATTGATGTAGAATAGTACCAGTTTACTGTGTCTTTTCATAGTCAATGATGAGTGCAAGTCTATTTGTAATATGTCTTTTTTTTTTAATAGAGAGGGATAAACTATTTTGTATTGTTGCCTTTAAAATTTAATGATAGAAGAATGTAGTGTAATTGTTTACAATGGTTACGTGACAAAAAGAAATTATTAACATTGTTGAACATGTTCTCTAGCTGCTCCAGAATTCTAGGTACAGTCATAGTTT